AATTTTAACCACATTTGTCTGTCACTTGATTATTACCCCTTTATATTTTCTTTCCATTAATTATGGAAAATTATTCTTTTACTCAGTTTGTAAACTAAGAAATCTCTGACAAAGGTCCTAAGTTCTATGGTGTAAACTCGAGGATTACACGTGTGTTTAATTTATTGAACAAAGCCAATACAGAATTTTGTACCTGTGAAGAAAAATACAAAAATTACAAATTAAATCCCAGCTTTTTCAAGAAAAGATTGATGTTCAATCACTGTAGATATTGAAACGCTTGCTATTTTCAGAAAATTGATTAATAACAAAAGAAAGACTGACTGAATTAAAAGAAAATACAGCCTGAATGCCATTTTTTTTGTATTTGATACAATCATTAATTAATAAACTTTGTTTGAAGTGACACATAGGCTGTGAAGAACGCATAGGACTAGAAAGACTATGATTATCCTCATTGTTGGTTTCATGACAATAATTTTCTCTGATACTTTGTCAATATTTGAAATAATTCTCATTTTTTGTTGTCTCAATGGAATAGATTTTGGTTGCTTTGCAATTTTTACATTTCATTAAACCTCAAGTACCTTATATTCAGCCCAATTGTTCAAAAGTTTTGGTCTTGTACCAGACTTAGTTTGTAAAGTAATATTTAATAACACTTTTTTAATCCTATGTGCAATCAAAACATAAGCAATCATGAACCTCCACATATTTTTTTGTATTATCTGGCGATTGCAAAGATTTCTTAGGAAAGATAGTGGAGTAGTTTCTCCACGGGCTGGAATTCAATTTTCCTTCTCTTAATAGTGTTTATCACCTAAGGTTAGAGATTTCAGTATATCCTGCTAGTTAATACTTAACTAGGAACAAGAGCAAATATGGATTAATGTCTGTTCCAGTGACGTTACTGCGAATGTAAGACAGTAGGTGATTCGACTTTTCACTTGAGCCGCACTCAAATCCTACAGATAACTCATTAGAGTATTTTTATTTCTTCCCTTATAAAGTTTTGACCGGTTCGTTTTCCGATCTTATTCCGCTGAATCCAGTGTCTAGTAGGTGAGCTATTATGTGAAATTTGAAGATTTCATTAAATGATGATTCTGAAAAAAAGTTACATAAAAAACGACAAATAAAAATGTTTGGATGCTAAAATCTTTTATTAAACATTTATAAGGCGAACAACATTGCTGTTTTTTATTATTATTATTATTATTATTATTATTATTATTATTATTATTATTTTATTATTATTATTATTATAAACCAGTCTAAAGTACAGACAAACCTCTTATCAACGGACTAATAGGGGGACGGGTGGTCGGTTAAAGTCAATTGTCCGTAACTGGGAAGGGATTATTTGTGAGTCATAAAACAACTATAGTAAGTACCAGTAATTATAATTATAATATAAATACTATAAACATGTATATCTGACATAAATAAATATAAACTTATTATAGATATATTAATCGAAATAACAAAAATAATCGATTTCTCACTGACAATCTGAAAGTTATTTTCCTGCAGATTTTATTTTATTTTGACCTCAGATTTTGTCCGTTGCATCCGAAGTCTGTTGATGGAAGGGGGTCTGTATATGAGAGGCCTGTCTGTATATATATATATATATATATATATATATATATATATATATATATATATATATATATATATAGGGAAAAGATTATAGCTGTTGCAGAGAGAGAAAAATGCCTATTTTAAAAAAAGAGAAACCGCAAACGTTTTAGGTTATGTGATTTCTTTTAGGGCATATATTATATTTTATTCTTCATATTTTTTGCTAAACGTGTTTCCGGTTACGTTACCTTCTTCAGGAAAATTAAAAAATTCCTTTAATTTGATTCCTTTGCTTTGCCTGAAGAAGGTAACGTGTCCGGAAACACGTATAGCAAAAATATAAAATAAAATACAATATATACACTAAAACAAATCCACATTATAACCCAAAACGTTTGCGGTATCTCTCTTTTTCAGTATATATATATATATATATATATATATATATATATATATATATATATATATATATATATATAACTAGTTTGGTTCACTTTGTCGTGCCAGACGGTTTTTCTCTAACAGGTCTTTCTTCTATGTTTATAATTCGTCTATTCCTAGAATATTGCTGCTACATATGGTCCGGAGTTCCTGCTTCTAAATAAAATCAAATTAATAATCAGCAATATTATTGGCCCCGATCTGGCACCTCGGCGTCAGTCACTTCCCCTTTGCCTTTTCATGGTAATTGTTCAGATGATCTCTTCGTTATGGTACCAAGAATCTTCGAATTTAAGCATACTAGTAGAAACTAGCAGACTGGTAACGATGTCTATCCAATTTACTGTCGAGCTGGCAACATGTAAGCGTAAATTTTATGCTAACAGTATATTTCTCGCACTTCTCGCTTCCGGCTCCATGATTTGCAGCCAAATTTCCCCTGCAAAAATGTAAATACAATTTCAATCACTAGCTGCTGTCCTCTTGATTACACTTCCTCTGTTCTTGCACCTTATCAATTTTTCTAACTCTTCCACAACATCTAACATCTTGCGTCCCAGAAGCTTTACTGCCTTGCTTGGGGTTAACGTGATATATATATATATATATATATCCAAGTATAGGATTGGTGTATACGGAATAAATTCCAATAACCAAACAGATACTTTTTAAAAGAGTGCTCAATACAGAGTAGAGCAAATATAATTATTTATTCGAAAATTATAATATAAATATGTTATAAAATCCCTACAAAAACAGCCATTTTGTTTCAACATTTCTGGTGTCTTATCAAGTGATGGTGTTGAATGTATAATAAATGTTTTTAAAAGGTTCAAATCAATCAAACATCCCTTTGCTAAGGGGAAACGCTGTTACATAAGCTAGAATGACCAATCAAAATACAAGTATATGAGAATACAAAAAACTTGACAACGAACTTTGGTTATAATAATTAATTAATGCTTTAATGTTAGGGTTAGACTAATATAGAATTCATTCTAAGTAATTAATATTAAATTTTATTCATAATTCAAAATTACCAATTTCAAATTTTAAAAAATTAAGTTTAAAAAATTATAAAATTATTTAATGAAGAAACCGAAGAAAAAATACATATATTTTGTTATTTATTTTTATTGAAAGACCAAAAAATTCAGTTATAATAAACGTTAAAATCTAATGTTGCTCTGAGCTTCGTTACAGCTCAGATACATTTGAAGTGATGATATGGAGAGGGGAGGGTGAAATCTTGCAAAAGACAATACATACACAATCAGATTATAATACACAAACACGTAGACATATTTAGATATATAAACACGAAAAAAAGCGACGAAACAGGAAATAGCTGTCCACGACCCTTAAAAAAACATATACATACAATGAAAGGCACATATAAGCGATTATACATATATACATTGATAAAGGCACGCACATATACACACCAAAACATATTCAAATTTGAAAGTATCAGTAAACGAATTCAAACATTATTATACGGACAAAGATATATAGATAAAAATGATTGAATAGATAAAATTTAATATGGGTGGAATAGAAAAACAAATATTCATCAATGAACAACGTAAAGAGGAAAAAAACACTAAAATATATAGAAATGAATAGAAAAATAAATATATAAACATACACACAAATAAGGAAAAAAAAACAAATTCAAATGTCCAGGTGAAATGTAACACTTAAAAATAACATTATCTATTATTGTGACAGAAAAAGAGAGTTTGGGAAACACACTGACACACACGTATTTATTTTTTAGTGAAATTGGAGAAGATTTGAATAGCGAAATTAAATCAGAGCATTTTGATTACTGATAGAGAAATTTGATCTAGGGCAGAAGTTGTATCCATTGAATCTGGGTCATCAGGAGACAATGGAAATGGTCGAAATAATTTTTATCGATTAAAAATTGTAATAGAGCTGAGTAAGCTAGAAGGAACTTTGGAATTCACATGATTTTGTTTGAAGCAGCCAGAACCACGTGATAATCGCGTGCGAAGTAGTAGGGCCGAGGGTCATTTATAATCAACCGGGTTTATCTATATAAACGCGTAGTTATGCTGAAAAAGAAAGACGGGAGAAAGTTCTCGAAGAGAGAATTGGCCCGGGCGAGTGTTGGGAGGAGGAACGCCACTATAACTAAGCCCCGCACAGAAATCCATCGCAAGAGTCATATATCGTTCTGAGACGATTTATCAACAAAAAAAAGATCACATATACTCACTCTCTCTCTGTCTAGAATCCTGTGTATGAGTTGTTTTTTTGTTTTTTGTTTGTTTTGTTTTTTTATTTTTATTTTCTGTAACCCGTTTCTCTTCTCTACTATTCTTTTCTGCTATATAAAAGACATTACCAATTCAAATATTGAATCAATGTTTGTCTGGCTTTCTGCAGATATTAATTTTTTTTTTCCTGCATTCTAAATTTCTTAGCGCAGACTCCCCAGCCGTGTCTACATCTTCAGTCGACCGTGAATGGACGGACATCACTTCTGCTTTCTGGATCAAACAAATCACAACGTGGGCAGGAAACAGGATTAAACCAAGGGTCCGGTCGAATAATCTACGGATGCTCAGTGGACCTATGGCCACTCCCTTAAGTTCGGTTAGGATCGAGTAGACACCTCAACCCCGAGAGTAAGACGTTGGAGGTTGAGGGGCCGGGGCGAAAGTGTTAGATTATATAAAAAAGAAAACTCCTAAACACAAAAATATATATAAATATCTCATATATACTTATATACGCATGAGTACACATACACCCATTATGGCATTTATGTTATAATTTGCAAATAATTATATATATATATATATATATATATATATATATATATATATATATATATATATATATATTCATAAATTTGTCATAGATAAAATATATACTGAAATCTGTAGAATTTAAACAACTTTCACGAATATAAGTCTGCGAGAATTATCTCAGGCGAGACAACGTTATCGTAGCAATGATGAAAATTGTTTTATAATCACTGTCTCATCAATTTTGGGATTAACTTGTAGATAGATATGAACAAACATAGATAGATAGATAGATAGATAGATAGATAATGCAGTATTATTTAGACATCGATGTGCTAGTTTAATTAACTTATAACATATCCTCTCTTATTTTATCTATTTGATGTAGTGTTTTGTGTTTTGAATGTATGCTAAAGACATAAATATGGCCAGATTAACTCAGCAAGGTACTGAATAGACACTCAGAGGCATAACTGTAATCATACAAGAGACCCCCACCCCACCCCTAGGTCGTCGAAGACTTCCAACTCCACGGCTGAAGTGACCGCTTCAATCCAAAGCTAAGCTTCTCCCACGTTGTGATTTAAGTTTGATCATAAGGATGCCAAGATCGAATCGTCGCAGGTATCTTCGTGTTGGGCTGGTACAAGCAGGGCGATGACGTACAGGAAAAAAATAACACTTGAATAAATTGAACAAAAGTAAATACTGTTTTTATAGCAGTCCTACATACAATAATTGGTTTGTATCAGAGTTCGCATGCAATTAATTATCAGCCCAAACCGCGTTAAGCTGTTTTGCTTAAGTTCGGCACAAGGCTGAAGTCGAAGGCTTTCGTCGGCAGATAATCACGTGGGCCTCTCTCCTGTCTCTGGTCTCGTCTCCGTCTCTTCTGTCTCGCTCTTGTACGACTCGACTGACGAATTCACTTCGCGCATCACTCTCATATTATTATCTCTTACTAAATCTCCTCAGTGAACGTGGGTGGCTTATCAACAACCTCCTGGTTTTTCAACTGAACTTTCGACCAGGAGAATCAACTCGAAATTCGTTGTTTACGAAAAATTAAATTTTCGCTTTACAGCTTGCATTTGCAGCTGTGTCTTAATCAATAGTGCTCCTTAAGTCTGGGTCAGTTTTCCATTGTTCAAACTGTTCGATATAGAATTCAAGTCGTTTATGTGTGAATTAAATCCTCAATTCTTCCCACCGATTTTTGGTATTAAACCTTCTCGTTTCACTGTCTCTCAGCATATAACACTTTCTATTGATTAGAAAACTTTCTTAGGTTCTATTTTACCGTGGTGACAACAAATAGTATCAAATAACCAACCATAAAAAATGACTTATGCCAATTGACATTGGGCCATGTTAGTCACTTTTCAGATTCAGATATCTAATTTGAAGCTGTATGAAGTGTCATTTGAATATTTCAATTCAGGAAAAATAGAGAATATATTAATGCTAAGGCGGTTTAAATATGGTTTCTTAAAAAATAAAAAAAATAGTTTTTCTTATTAAGATCGATGTTGTAACGATGATCACAGTTTCCCGTTTAGACCAACAATAACATCCGTGCATTTTGCATTGAACGGATTCAAATCACGTAAATTCCACGCTTTTTTTTGATCGACTTTTCTAATGACTGATCTTCACTGAATATATTGATTATGTTTTTGTTGCCATTTCGATTTTATTTTTCGTTCCGACTTGCAAAATATTTCCATCTCTTCTTTAGAATTATTTTCAAAAGTCACTCTCAGTTAACCTTAGTAAAAACAAATCAATATTTTTTGGCGACCAATAATATTTGGCTTTTTTCAATGCTCTTATATATCGAACTTCAAAAGCAGGCAATAAAAACTGCACCTCATTTACTCTCTGATACGAATGAGAAGATCATCTAAAGTTATTCCTACATTGATAACTTATGACCTCAACGTGGTTATCTCAAAGTTAATTGTAAGAGCTTACCAAGTGGACAAAGTTACGCTAGAAACAAAAGCGAGAATGTTAATGCGTACAAAATACAGATCAAAGTTAGTGGTTGTACGATTATAAATTGGTTCAATATATTCTTGTTGTCTTTAGATACTTATAAGTATAATAAAGAATTTTAAAGTTCAGGTTTCATCTGGAGTCTCACAAAATTTCAACAACAAAGACAAAATATACTTATTTAATAAGGAACTATATCCTGGTTAATTCTTTTTCTGTGTTTACCTGATTTCTTATATAACACACTGTTTCACAAAAGGTACTGCTCCTAAAAGGAAGGGTCAAAATTTCGTACCACACTCAGTTCACTCGCATTATTTAGATGACCAAAACTTTTGAGTAACAACTGATACATTAATAGCAAATTCTTCTGTGACTCATTCTCCTGAGAGCAGGTGTAAATTTGAATGAAACCATGGTAGAAAGGACATGGACTTCGTTCTAAGACAAATCCAAAGAAAATGCCTAAGTTATGCCACCTTTGTTGACTTGGCAAAGGCAGTTGACACTGTAAGCTGACTGGGTCTTTAGATAATCCGAAGAAAGCATGGTGCTATCCAAAATTACTCGATATTATGATTAAACCACCAAAGGCGTCATCCGCCTGTTTTCCGATAGAGACCTCTCAAGACCTTTTTTCTATTGAAAAGGCGTAAAACAGGATTACGTTCTGGGCGCAAACTCCTTTTTCAATATTCTTCAGTGCGATATTAGAACAGGCCTCAAGCAATATGAATGACGACGAAAACTTATGCATCCACATACGTTTCAATGTCACTCGGCTTGGAACCGATTTTGGTAGAAAAGTCTTCATTTCCGCAAATGAAAGAACTTTTGTACAGAGACAAATGTGGTTCTACTCTCGCTTATTTCGTAACAAGCCTGCCAGGTTACAGGTTAAGATACCTGCCATACTTTACTTATCAATCAATATCTTGACAAGTGTACCATATGTCATATTCGGTAATACCAAAATAGAAAAGGCTTTGACGACAAAACGTTAAAAGAAAACTAAATCTGTGAGAAACTACACGGACTTGCCTGAATCAATGGAAACCAAAGTCACCAAATCAAAATCAAAAATTGTACTGGCAAATCTCCTCTATTGCCTTGAATTTTAACTCACATAACGTCACCATCGACGCTTCCTCGAAAGCTTCTATGAAAGCTACATCCACACTATTCACAAAGTGCTCTGGAGCGACTTCATCTAAAACACTGTAAGTTCTTCAGCAGTGAAACATAGCTGTAAACAATACAGCTGCACTGAACTGACAATATATAAAGTATGTAAGATGATCTGACCTCCAATAAATGAAAAGAGGGGCCCCACAAGAGATAAGGTTTACTTAAAATGGACTGTCGTCTTCTGCAGTACTGAATACCGCAAATGCGTCACACAGTTTACGGATATGTCTTTACTGAATCAAGTCGTAGACAAGTTGGCGGAACGGAAGAGGCAGAGCTGGAAACTTCGCCTGCACCTTTCAGTCACCAAATTTGTTCTTGTACCAACTTCTGAAAAATCCAGTCTTGCAAAAGACTGGTGAGCCTGTGACATATATGGAACCTCTGTCCGAGTTCGCGAGTCAAAGCTATGATGAGGATGACCTTCAGGTCAGATGTCAAGGTGTTGCTTGAGAGCGGAAAGCATTAGACTAATGGCATTCTTGTAAGATTTTCGCCTTTTCGTTGTCTTTTATTTTATAGGCGGTTTTTCCACAATTAAGTACTTCTCTCCCGCTCTCACTTCACGCATACATAATCAGAGAGACACACACTCATATATGTGTATGTGTGTGTACGTGCATGTATGCGTTTAACGAGAGAAAAAGAGGTGAGAGATCACACTTTCTATTTGTTGAGTTATTTTTTACGGTTTATCAACCCTTTGCAGGTTATTTAAAACCAGAAAATATTTTTAGATTGTAAAATTATTATTTTAGATTATAAGTGTTTAGTGATACAATTCTTATTATTTAATCTATAGTAGGGGAGAAGAGTTGAACTCATATCTTTCCCAAATGTATTTGCGTCTAAGTGAATATAACGAACCCAACTGGAATTGGAACTCGGCTCTACGATTAAAATTCCTAGCCATTGTGCATCCCACCACCCACACATCCAGCGCTTGTGATTCTCATGTGGTCACACATCTAGGTACTGGCCAGGTTCGACGTTGCTTAACTTTGGTGGTCGTACAGGAATTGGTGCTTCAACTTGATATGGTCGTAATGATTTTCCAAGCGTATGAGGATGAGGCACAAGGCCGAAAGTATGGGGTACCCAGTGAGGATCGAACTCAGTCATAATTGTTCTAGCAAGACAAGCTCGCTAACTATTACACCACGTCGAGGTGCCCAACTTGATATGGTCATAAACCCGTTATACAGTTTGAGCGATAAATATAAAAATGGTGTTATCTTCAATATCCATGACGCTTTTTCTCCTCTTAACTCTTTTCGCCTGAGTTCCTACTTTTACTCTGTTTGCTGCAAAGAGATTCTTCAAAGTTTTTACTCTTTCTGAGTCTCCTTTTTATCTCTCTTTTAACAGCTACATATTGAAGTTCATTCAATTTATAATATAGAATTAAATAAACAAGCAACAAAAAGCTGTTTCTAAAATAAAATCCCAGCCATTTTATATTTACTATGTACACATTGCAAAATACGCAATTGTTTTATTTGTCCTTCCCTTTCTTTGACACTGATCGAAGTATATCATCATTTAGTCAGTTAAATCATATCTAGATATTTGCATTTAATAAATATATAAAGAGCTTTCCAGACAGACAACACTTAAATAAGGCATAGAAAGAAACCTTGGCCTCTATCTGAAAAGTACAAAATGGCTAGCCTCGTTCTAAGTTTATCTCGTTTAATGTTTCTTATCTTAAAATGTTTCGAAGTTATAACGACGACAGAAGGGAATCTGACATTCATAAGCGTCACTTGTGTTTCTCTCTTATAAAACACGTACGTGTGCAACACATGCCTAAGATCCCATCGTGTTTAATCAAAAGTAAACTATCGAAATGATTAGGAATATTCATTTGGGCTCTTAGAAGGATGATGAACAGTTGGTCAAATGTTTGAAAATTTTACAAGCAGTAAGAATCGGTTATCGAGCCAGGAAATCGATACGAAATCAATGATGGGAGATTGAATTTTTACTAGAATATTCATTTAGCACGAATGCTTTTGGCCACTTCGAAAACTAACGTTTCTAACTTTTACTAATTAATTATTCCATGTAAACGATTATTTCCTATAGTTTAACATTGAAATAAATGCCTTAACAACAATAACTTCAACAACAACAATAATAATAATAATAATAATAATAATAAGCTATCGAAATACAAGGACCTTGAAATCGAAATCTCAAAAATGTGGCACATGGGAACATCAACAAGCCCTGTTGTAGTTGGAGCCCTCGGATTGGTTGAAAAAGATTCCAGTAGACACATTGAAGGGATTCCTGGAAGCCCATGCCTTATCTATGTAAAATTTGTGTGTGTGTGTGTGTGTGTGTGTGTGTTAATTTGTCAGTGGAAAGTGCCATAATGCGATTTCTGATCTTAGGTACCTGGAAAGAAATGTGTACACATGAAAAATCGAAGAAGAAGAAGAAGAAGAAGAAGAAGAAGAAGAGGAAGAAGAAGAAGAAGAAGAAGAATGAAAAGAGCGAGAAAACTGCTTAAACAACGAGATGACAATACGTCACTTGATCTTTAGTGAATGATACAAGATACTAAAAGGTAAAATTAATACTACTACTACCACTACTAGTAATAATAATAATACTAATACGACTAATTATTATTATTTACATATACAAATCAGTTGTGTAGTGGTCATATAGCTGGCGAATGGTAATGGTAATGGTAATATTAGCCGTTTCCCTATAAGGAAACATTTAGCATTCATTGACTGAGCAGCTAGAACTACTTTCTCTTTTAAATCTTTGTTTTAAAACCATTTTTCAGGAAAATATCTTTCTCAAGTCCAGTAGCTGTTATCGATCTTTCCAGTATTGATGGGGATTTCCTTCCTAATCTTTTATTTGAAGTAGGGTGATTAAGTGACAGCAAATCCTTTCAAATAATAACCACAAAGCCCCACAGCAACAATATAATCTGGAAAGTCCCAGATAATAATAATAATAATAATTGGTTTTCTATATACCTGAGGATTATTTTCAATTATTAGATATATTAATTATTCTTATTATTTATCACTTAATAAAAAAAAAATAATGAATCGTTTACTCCGACGTTCAACAGCAAAATAAAAAAAATAGTTCCTCACTTCTTGCACCGAACTATGTGGATGACTCTAATACTTTTGAAAATACATTAACTCACATCTCCATGTATTGTCTCATTCTAAGATGCTTTGATAAAATACTTTGTTGCCAGTTTGTCAATGACTTTGATGAGAATAAGCGCTTTCAACTTACAGGAAGCAACTCGATGTTCTCACCTCTATTGTCAACCTTATAATTAAAAAATAGTGTAAACATTATTAAATGCATATTCTAAAATGACCGTTGTTTTTTTTTATCATTAAGAAGAGTTTTTCCAGAGAAACTATATTATTATAAAGGCGAGTCTATATGGACACCTAGGTACATTAATAAATCTGTCCGTCAACACATGACGAAAAAAAGCATTTCTGTTAAAAAAAAAAAAATTACTTTTCAACATAATCTCTTTTCCTGCCGATGCACTTAATTAGTTCAAGAATTTTAATTACATAGTTTGAAAATCATAGCGTGAACATTTCAGATAAAAATTCAGTTAATACAGCAGATAGATAGATAGATAGATAGATAGATAGATAGATAGATAGATAGATAGGAATCGAAAGAGATTATTTGTGGTCAGGGTCGTTAAATTCCTTACATAAAAAAAACTGAGAAAGCCCTTGGATATGCATAATATTTGGATAACTTTTACACACTTTATGTCAAAAAAAGTAAACACTTATACGAACACAAGAAAGATTAAATAAAATCTTAATCGCAGTATCCTCTTTCAGTCGGATTTAATGAAACATGTACAATAGAAGGACTGCTGCCCAAATACACAATATATATATATATATATATATATATATATATATATATATATATATATATATTGTGTATATTTAGGCAGCAATTGTTCATTGATGCATGTTTCATTAAATAATATAGACAAGTTTTGTCTATTTATTTGAAGTAAGTTCCTTTCATATTGTCTGATAAGCTTAATAACATTATCATTGAAAGACGAAAGGAAATCACCATATTGATACATGTTTAAATCCAATCTAAGCTTTCGGCTTACATAAGCCATTATCAAAGATGACAATTACTTTTCAATATATCAACCAATACACGATTTTCGCTTCCGCGTCTCGTATATATTAGTTAGTCGTTGCTTTGAAGTTTTTCATGCAACAAAAACAGACTATCATTATTGGTAAAAAAAAGCTAAAGACACCAAGTAATGTAATGTTTTAGAAATAAATGCTTATTTCAGGAGACTTCTTTATCATTTTCCTATTTTCAAATTACAGTACCAATTTTACTTTATTAAAATTTAAAGTTCGCCTCAGAGTTTTAGTTATTCTACAAGTTCGCCCAGAAGTGACAAAAATTGAGAAACGCTACTATATTGTATTAACAGATGCAAGAGGTGGAAATAATATATCGCAAGACGGTATTCTTCGCCTGTATGGTCCTAAGTATGTCAAGGCTACAAGCGTGTTCACCTACTTAATATAAGGCCCAAGAGCTATTCAAGGTAGAGGGTTTCTGAATTGGGTTGCTGTGTGGACGTAAGAGGAGGAAACAAGTGGAGCTTATGAGGATATTGATGAGCGATATAGACTGAACCTAGACTCAGAAATATCTAAAATGTCAGCTGTATACAACCATTTCCTAAGATCAATGGTGAAAAAAGGATTTAAGCGAGTGAAGCCTGAACATCTTGGCAAAGATCATCCTACTTTGAACCTCGTGGTCTGGCGTTATATAATCACAAACAAAAAAACTTTAAACAAATAAGAAGCCCCACATCACTTTAGGACTATCAACAGCAGCAACAGCTAAAATGGATAGCTCATGTAACTCGAAAAGAGAATAATGACATAACCAAGATGTTGACATTCCACACGTCTTCAAACAAAAGGCTAGGAAGGAAAGTCCCATAAATACTGGAAAGAGCAATAACTAAATTGAGAATCTCGATTTCCTAAAAAATGCTTTATGAGAGAGATTTTATAAATTTCAACCGAAAACAGTACTGGCTGCTCGGTCAATGAATGCCAAACATTTTCTTATATGGAATGATAATGCTATCATAATTACCATTAATATTGTTTTTGAAATTCACTGAGAAAACTCTCCGAACTTTTGTTCCGACTTAATATTAAAAAAGTATTCAGAGATAAATTATTCATAAAATATATTAAACGTATTTGAGATAATCTCTCCTGGATTAAGAAGGATTTGACTTTGTTTAAATCTTTACGTCTGATGGCTTAAATATTTGAATGATACACTCTGCATATGTCCAAACACAGAGATCTATATCTGTACATAAGCATGTAAAACAAATATATATATATATATATATATATATATATATATATATATATATATATATATATATATATATATATATATATATATATATATAGCGTTTGTATATGTTTCATGAAATACATATGTCTGTAAAGTTATATGTGCCTGGTAGATTGGAAAGTCACAGAGGTTAGTGAAAACTTTGACAGGCATTGAAAGAAATTTCCTACAGACATCATCAAGCTGAAAATCGTGCCAATTTATTTTTACGTCAAATCCCATCTTGCTTATTGCTTTGGCTTGACTGAAAAAGACCAATCCGTCCAATGACCTTTATATTTTGATATTATGCGCGCTGCGAATCCATGTTAGGATTTTCTAACTGCTCGCCCGAGGTGTCCAACATTCAAGTGACTACCACGCTTTCAAAAACAAAACTCCGTTTTTGTAAGTATTTGTCCGTCTTTATTCGTTTTTTTTTTTCGCTTATATATGGCGGTCGCAGAGATCCCATTGAATGCAATGTCCTTCGTAAAGAAAATCGACAAGTGCAGTGTGTGAGCGACGGGTCTTTTCTCCAGGCTGATTCAAGTCATTGGCTGGTTCTGATAGTAATACCGGCTTTTATCGCATGTAAGAGGCTACCTTCGAAAGATGTGTTAAAATAAACATTCATAGATTACGAATTTGATGATAAATTCAACAAATTATGAAGTGATATTGAATTTAATATTCACAAACTGATCCAGTTAGTATGGATGGCGAAAAGTTAAATAAATCAATAGAAACAATACTGCAAAAAAATTCTTTAAAAAAAAAAATAATCCCGGTAAAATAGACACAAGGCTATTTTACCGGTCCCGGTAAGATAAATACTAAGGCTATTTTACCGGTCCCGGTAAAATAAACACTAAGGCTATTTTACCAGGATCGATAAAATAGCCTTGTTATTTTGCTGGTCCAGGTAAAATAAACACCAATGCTATTTTGCGGTAAATATAAATAGTGTTTTATGACTAGAAATATATATTTGAGATCGTCAGCGCCTTTGTTGTGTAAGCTGTGTAGACAGGACTTGAACAACATAGATTCTGTGACTGTTGTCTTCAGTGGGTGCGCCTGAAATGTATTGGTAAGAGAACCATGCCCAAGAGCAAGTGTTGAATTTGAAGAAACTATTATACCTGAAGTGCTTAAAATATTCAGAGACTTCTATATTTCTTTTAATAATTGATGATGAGTAAATGATTTTAAGTTGTGTTTTAACAAATGACGGCGGAAATGATTCTAAATTGTCTAAACAATTGATGGAGAAAACAAATAAACTTCTGTGTTCTGTGTGTTATGACAACACACAGATTTAACACAGAAATTTATTTATTTTTATTATCTATCTTTATAATAATATAAATATTTACCTGCAAAACAGCCAGTAAAATCAGCGTAAAGGCATGTTTGTCTATTTTACCGGGACCGGCAAAATAGCCTCTTCCCCCACCCCCCAAAAAATGTTTCTTACCGCTTGATATTCTGCCGATGTTCAGTGTTGTCAACTATTCAGCCTCGCAGAATCGTCGCTGTCTGGGGATTGTTTACTTATAGGATCTCATCATGTTTTGTTTCTTTTGTAGTTTGCAATTAAGCTGCTCACGTGTCCGAACGTTCACTTTCTGATTATAAGACCTGGGTTCGAATCTCACCATGTTTGATTTGTCAGGAAGGTAACATCTTGATGTTATCAGTCTGGAGGAGGCTATCCCAGGTGTGGCACACCTGAAAAACCATACCCCACGGGTGAGGCCAAGCCTCCTGGGAAGGAACCCTTAGGTAGCCGTCGATGGTTGTGCTAGCACGAGGTCATCGTGACCGAGGTTTTGAGTGTGCTGGCCTTGTTCAGATTGTTGATCATGTTAGATAACACACTCTATCCCAGAAACTGTAACTAAACTCCACTCAACAGGGATCGTCTAGCCACCCTCGTAGACAGGTATTTTTTCACTTTAACCAAGAAAATTTTTAATGAAGAAAGATGTTCTTGTTAATTCATATCGTAGAGCCTGCCATTTTATATCGCAGAGATCAAGTCTCGTTGATGGAATTGGTATTTCTTGGATTCCTAACTTTTCTGATTTTATCCCAAAATTAAGCTTAACAAATATTTTGTAAACCGAATGCATTTAGACAGAAACATATCTACGCCATTTTCTTTTAATATTTTTCACCCAATACAAGGCCCAAGAGCCACTCAAGACTGGTTTCATTGATTGATTTGTTTTTACTGGTTGATTGATTGTTTTTACGGCCTATCAATCTTTTGCAGGTTATCTAAAACCAGAAACTTATATTGTTTTATAGACAATAATAATTTACTGATCCAGGTCATACTAATTAACCCATAGATGGGGAAAGAAGAGATGGCTTCATACTTTTCCCAAGAGTATTCATGCATGAGTGAATATAACGAACTCGATTGGAATCTGAACTCATTCCTCCGATTTCCAATCCCGAGTCGTTGTCCATTACACCACATCCAAGCTTACAGTATGTGGTATTCCTAAGCGGTCACCCATCTAAACACTGACCTGGTTCGAAGTTGCTTAACCTGGCTCAAGCCTAGACGGTTAGTGAATGAGGTTGTTGCATGGATGAAAGTGAAGGCAAGAAATGTAAATTATGAGGATATGTAGGACAGGAAATAGTTGACCCCAGATTTGAAGAGATTATGATTTTAGGGGCTGTAGAATTAAAATAATTAAGGCCTCGTTGATGCTTTTGAACTACATGGCGTTATCAAGTATGGTGTTTATCGATACTTTATCGTTATTTCCATGAAAAATGCTTAGATGAATTCCATTCTTTAGTTCCACCAGTTCAGACCTTTACGACTAAGATACCTGCCTCATCGCCTACGTTTACCTATGGTGAGAAGCTTCGAAAGATTTTTTCTCAAGAACATCTAAGAAATCATTGAGGTTTATCGTTATCTATGCGCCATATACTCGTAATCTTGAATCGTACAATAGAAATGGCGCCCAGAGAACATGACATACCCGACATACCTTCCAGTCTGAGCTCAGTAATTTATTAATTGCACTAATAAAAACTGCTGAAATGCTCGTAATAGCAGCATTGTTAAATGGACATGAAAGGTGTGCTGCTAAAAATAGATCTTTTAAAAAAATGATGTCCATTCTGAACAACAATTTAAAAAGAAAAAATACTCGTTGTTTAAGCGTAATAGAAGGAAAAGCGATTTAAGATAGGATTAGCTGCGTTAAAAAGAATTAAAAAAAAGAAAAGTGATGAGCAGTCAACGGCAGAAGCATGTCAAAAACTTTCCATGATCGACAAGCGACACACGAAGTACGTATCACGTTCTATGTTGCTCAACGAAATAATTAGAGATTCTTTTTAACCATAGCAACGTAACAGTTGCCTAAACAATCAATTACTTAACAGTGACAGACAAAAATACCACCAGGAACGCTAGATCTGAGTTTTTGTTTATAAAAATTAGGCTAGACTTTTAAATTATTTAGACGATCAGTTCTTCGGCATTTAAAGTAAACTATAGAAATGAGGAAATATCCCCAAAGAAAATTCGAACCCTCATTCTTTAACAGGAAATAGTTTTTGTTTTTTTAATTAATTTTTTTACCCTTTTAACAGGACACTACAGCATGGTAGAATTCAGGAACGAACCACCTGATTATTTTGGAAGTTATTTTCGTTAAATGAAATTAGAAATGTTAGAAAGACAATATTTCTGTAAGGCATGAAGAGACGGTTAGAAATCAACCCAAGGTCGACAGTGCTGCCTTTTCAGTATGTAGCTTATTATGAAAAAGAAGTCTACACAGCAGAAGCTGCGGGTAATTTAAACGATGGACAGGTCGCCAGTGCTTACAAATAATGTCATCATTTCCAATGTGTCCTCATCTGCTCACTCTTTGAAAATTATACGTTTAGGAATCTAGAGATTTCTTAGTAAACACGCCTGCAGCTCATTATCAAACACAGTGATATTTTGGTTGTGGAATTGGGAGCTAGTAGAAATATTGGTTCAAAGTTACTCTAATGCATGCTGTCTCTGAATTCCGAAAAATGGTCAGACATTATATGAGAGGAAACTCGCAGTTTACATTGATTGTCAATGAGCAGGAGGCCTAACAACCAGGAAAACTTTGAATTCAAATCCGGTTGGGCGTGGAGACAGCAAGTGCGACCCGTGAAAAAAAAACTTGCGAGGATAACGGTAACAGTAACGCCTCCATGTTGAGATCGATGGTCCCATACTTCAGAATTATATTGTATATGTCCTTTATATATATATATATATATATATATATATATATATATATATATATATATATATATATTCGCAACCTGACGATTGCGCCCAGCATGAAACTCCCTGTTGCCTCTGAGTGTTGACGTCATTGTTCATTTTATATTTATAATTTACATACGCTCTATCTCTGATATTGAGCACTTTATCTCATAAATATAGCACAACTTAAAACTATATTTTTTATTTATATATATATATATATATATATATATATATATATATATATATATATATATATATATACATGAATGGATAGGATAAAAAATCTACATACAGGCAGAAATAATTGCCCGTACGTATGTCCATTTTTTTCACAGGTGTTATAAATACAGTGCTGAATGTTATGAAGCAGACCTATAAGTATATATTATCGAATATACATAATATCCAACGTCAATAGCCCAACTCGGAATTTGATGCAGTCTTACAATCTTCAGGTGCTAAGTATATTCTGATTGTTATAGATTTCGCATTCTCGTGGTGATGATTCAAAATTGCGTGTTAAAACTTGATTATTATTGCGTAAAATATTAGAATTAACAATTAATAATCATTCAAATTCATAAGTTCGAAAGTCGAATAATTAAAAAAAATAAAAATAAAATCATTTAAATTTGAATTTAGATTCAAAAGTATACAATATGTCAAGGAGAGTAACTGAATTTTCCCCAGGCATGATGATCAATTGTATCTCTATCTATAAAATGCAGGATGTGTGTGTGTGTGTGTGTGTGTGTGTGTGTGTGTGTGTGTGTGTGTGTGTGTGTGTGTGTAACGAATGTATGGCCGCAATTTTCGACGAATTTGCACCAAAATTTACATGCACATGCTCCAAGTTAGCGAGAAGACCAAGACCAATTTTGCATTTCCCAACTCCCATCGATGGTGGAAATAATCGATGTTTTTCCTGCTTCTACGGCAGCTTTTCATGCAGTAAAAGGCTTTAGCTTATTACCAATGAATAATAATTTGAATTAATTTGAATGACGAAAAACTATTGCTATATAACAAATCTTCACAGTAAATTTAAAAAAGAAATGACTTACAATTATCCAAATATTCGGCAATTACGGCCATATCTCATTAAAACACAGGTCCCTGTGCGATCACCTAAGTAAAGCAACGTCGAGCTTGTTAAGTACTTAGATGGGTGACCACTTAAGAATATCAGGTGTTTAAGCTTGGCTGTGTGGGTGATCTAATGGATAATGGCTCGGAATTGTTAATCGGAGAGCCGAGTTTCAATTCCAGTTAGTTTCTTTTTATTCACTTACGCACAAATGCCTTTAGGAAAGGCATGAATACAACTCTTCTCCCTCCAGCTATAGGTTAATGAGTAAGACCTGTATCGCAAATCTATTATTATCTCTCAAGAAATTCTTATAATCTAAAAATATTTTCTTCCTTTAAATAGTTTGATAAGCCATAGTAAACGAATTAACCAATCAAAACTATACACAGTGATTTTCTAAGCATAGCTTTAATGTGGCACAAGGACAAAAGTATAGGCGACCCAGTGAATTCACTATTCAGTCATAATTGATCTAGGGAGACAAACTTTATAACCATTGCAATACGCCTAAGGGCTATGATGAAAACCATATACAGTAAGTTTATAGGCGAACGTAATTAACATACACAGACACACTCGGGCGCGCATGCACACACACACACACACACACACAAAAATAATACATATTTGAGTGGAATTTATTTCTAAAACATTATCCTAAGACATTTTGCATATTTTCCATAGATGGGGCAGATTGTTTCGGGAACTAAAATAATGAACTGGGATTTTAACTGTAGGTTTTTAACACATATAGATAAAGCCCTCGAGGCGATTGGCGTAACACAATCTTATTGCCATTTTCACCCTAATTGTTATATTTGAATTGATACCGTACTATATTAAGCCTGATAATTATTGACATTGTCTAAACAGATGTTTGTACCTTTTTCTTTCCGTATCAGTTAACTTTACAAAGTACTTGACTTAAAAAAAATAATTAAAAACAAAACTTTCCTTCAAAACCTGAAATAAAACACATTGTACTGACGGCATTATTTTCTATATATAAAGTATGTACTGCGAGAAAGAAATGATTTTAAAATTGCCTTAAAACGATTGCAAATTCTTCTTATTTTAAGAAGCACCTCCATATAAAAAAATCACCCAAATCACTGCCGATTTTGGTGTAGAATATCAATTAAAAATAAAAGGGAAATAGAGAAAGTGGCTTTCTAGAAGCTAAACAAAGGTAAAAAGAAAACGGGAAATTTCCTTGAAAACAATGATTGCAGTGCTGAACTGCAATGTAATATAATGGAAATGAATGCTGGACGTTTTCCTCACAGATGATTAGGAGACATGCATGAATGGAGAAGTGGCTCTACAGGAGAATACTGAGAATACCATACACAGATCGTGTGAACAATATGGGTGGTTGTAAGGAACAAAAAGGAAACAAAAAATGACATTTATAGTTAGAATCATAAAGAGACAATTGAATATTTTCGGATAATTTGAGGCTTTGATAATTTGATATTCCCAAGACATATTGAAAGTAAGCTGTTCAAGGGAAACAACGTACAACTTATCTAATTGACTTGTGTAAAGACGTAACAGGGATTAGGAGAGATAGTAAAAAACATTGCTAAGATTCACAAAGGCTAGGAAGTTGTGGAGAGCCATGATTACTCATGTCTTGAAGAAAATCATTTCTGGTTCATATGCAGAGAACGACGCCATTTGTTCTTCCAGAAATTGAAGCGTAAAATGAATCAACCAAACTATCATGAAACATTGTTCTGTTGAAGTGACAAGAAAGTGAAATGAATTCATGTTGACCAATTCTTTTGTATTTGCTGTCCTTATTAGAAATTTTCGTCTATTTTGTTATACAACACCTTTCAGTTTGAATTTGTTAATCTTCCGGGAAAATCTTTATTTGATCCGCAGCAGTTTCCTCTTCTCATTCTCCAGTAAATCTCCTCCTGTTCCATGGATGGCATGAATTTCATTCCTGGGTTAGGAATTGCAGGAACAGAAAACGATTTAGAGAAGAGATATAAAATAACAGAACTGACTGATACGAGTTCTGAAATTCTCTTGAGAGAATACAAGTCACGATATATAAATGAATAAGAGGAATATAGCCTCGTATGCTAAATAATGATTTCCTCACCAAATCCAAAGTAGGTTTACGAAAAATAGTTGTATATGTCAAGCTGCATCGGCCTCTGCTTTTCCCTTGGGTAGCATCAGTAACGTGAAGAGAGAAGACGTATTCGTGGGCAACTTTCGATGCGTCATAAAGAATATCCTGCCCAAATATGCGCCCTTCGGGTACAGATCTATGCTCTCTTGAGACCGATCGATAAAATACAAAACATTCCTATATTGAAAATGATTTTGAAAAACACCGCCGAAATATATTCTATACGTTCTAATTTTTATTTACACGCGTATTTCTTTTCATCTACAAATTTTGTGTTGTTAAGATTGTGGACGCCAATACTGAATTCTGGTAGAGCATCTAATTCACTCAGAATTGCTTTGGTGTATAGGTTGAATATATTTTATAAAAAAATATATCCTTGTCTTACAGCCTTTTCTATTTTTCAACATTTGCTGAACTGACTTTCTTATGCAGACGGTTTGCTGCCAGTAAAAGTTCTTGATTATTCTAATATCCTTCCAAAATATATTCGGGTTGCTCAGTAATTCTGACATTGCTTTGGGGCGTACTTTACCAAATGTATTCGGGTCGTCTTCAAAACAAAGATACAAGTCCTTCGGCATTTGCACGTCGCTTTCGTTGTCCCAGTGTCGACAAGACGACACTTTTCTTGACCTGTCTCCGGTTTGAAATGTTTGGTAGTATCCGTATATTTACTTATCTATCTCTCTGTATATATATATATATATATATATATATATATATATATATATATATGTGTGTGTGTGTGTGTGTGTGTGTGTGTGTGTGTGTGTGTGTGTGTGTGCGTGTGTGCAATTAATATATTTACCCATATATATATATATATATATAATCACGAAGAATATGTTAAATATTCATTTTGGTTATAGTTTATTTTGTGAATATCGAAGATATTCACTATTCAGACAAAAATCTCTTAATGAGAATTTCAGAATTCATGTCAGTCAATTTTGTTATTTTACATCTCCCCTCTAAATAGCTCTCTGTTCCGACATTGAGCTCTTCCTAGATTAATATGCTCCTTGGAATTATCCCTACTAGTCACAAACTGGTAATACTCATATATATATATATATATATATATATATATATATATATATATATATATATATATATATATGATCAAAAAAGAGTTGTAAGGAGTAAGGTATGTTATATTTAAGTGCTCGATATTTAGGATATAGCGTATTTAAATATAGCTATAATCTCCAACTATTCAAATGTAATGTCAATCGACATCTCCAGTTGCCTTGATCTATCCACTCTCCTTCTCTTCATCCTTTCCTCTATCACTCCTATCTGATCTTGCTCCAAATCCTATGTAACCCCTTGCGTGCTAGTGGATTCTAGCCTTGCTTGGGGTGAAATTCTTTAAAAAAAAAGAAAAAAAATATATATTGTTACTGCTGAGTATTGACTCTTGTCCACTTTTATCAGTCTCTTCATATCTATCTATCTTTCTATCTCATTTATATATCTATCTTTCTATCTCATTCTATATCTATCTTTCTATCTCATTTATATATCTATCTTTCTATCTCATTCTATATCTATCTTTCTATCTCATTCTCTTTCAAAAATTATCTGATGCTTCATTATTTCTCCAGTGTTTCGCAATTGTGTCATGAGCTCTATCAAGTACCACTAGCATCTATCTATCTATCTCAGCCTTTTCATATCTATTTATCTATCTATTTTCTCAGCCATTAAGAACTTGTAATATTTTGAAAATCATGTGCTGTTTTTTGATTTGATCTTATCAATAAGCCTGAGTGTATTTCAAGCCAACGTTTAGGGGTGGGGGGGTGTTGTAATCACTTTCTCTTGGGCGATATTGGTTCACAATCGCATCATAACTGAGCCTTTCGCTCTGCGTTGTCGCCATGCACGATTCGGGGCCAGTTACCAAGGAATTAATGTACATATTGAAATTCACCTTCTTTCATCACCAGCAACAAAATATGGGTTTGGATAGAAACGTAAGAAACAGTTCACAACTTGAATCATTTCTTACAGAATTTGAATAAATTGCTGACAAAAATAGTGAAAGAAGAGAGAAAACAAAACTGGAATTTTTTCTCCTGATGTCAAATGTTGTGCCTGGGAATTCTGGGAACAAGAGCAAAATGAATGGTTGTTTCGGTCGCCCGTTTTATAATGGTCATAATTATGAACAGATTATATTCACCTGTCTTTCGAAGACATAGAATTCCGGTCATTTACAATCATTTATCGAAAAACAAGAAAAAAGACTTTCATTCAAGAAGGTTTATTAATGTAGATTTTTGCATTAAATATATCCAAGAACCAGACATAGAAATATCGTTATCTTCCGCGACCATCCATTAACATGGCGGGTGGGTTATAAAATAGTACAAATCATTTACAATACTATCTATGTATGTCGCATTTGTCACAACAAATTTTCTTTCCTTGTCCTCGTCAAAGGTCCAACACAAGTTTGCACAACGATGCTGACAAGATAGATTCATAACTTCGTCCAGGCATGAACTCCACTGTCTGCACGGAATTGAAAGCACGATTAATCAAACCAGGTGCCAACGTTTTACGGTTCAATTATTTTGTTCTTTGCCTCAGTTAAGTAAGAATAACCAATTATCAATAATACTGGATTAGCCAAAAAGTTCGTTCGGTTATTAACTAAATTTAGATTTTTTTTTGTCTGTTGCCAAACCCAGAGGTTTGGAAACACGATTTGTTAACCTCTCTGCCTACGGACGGAGAGGAACCCAGACAAAGCTATGCCGAAGAGAAGAGTCTTGTCTAGGCACGACCCCTTGTATATGGAGTCTACAGTGAATTTTTGCTACAGCCTACTGGCTCAAAAAAAAAACACGTGAAAAAACGACCTTGTGCCACATCCAGCTTTGTAGAGGAATGTAACAGGGAAATACCGTCATTAACTAAATTTCATACTTAATAAAGTAAATT